AACTCTGTCTACCAAGTACAGTTTGTGAGTTGAGACTTTGGGCTACATATGTTATGTAGTAACCTGCATTCTGATTAGCGGCTATAATTTTTTATTGCCTCACTTTTGCTTATTCGATATATAGCATGTACCTACTATGTGCTGACCATGACTCTTACTACAGAGAATTATAGTCTAATGGAAAAAGTGACATGCAACCATTTTGACACTATCCTGAATACTCCAAAAGAGTATATACAAGAAATATAATAGCAGTCCACTATTTAATGATTAGGGCCAAAAACAAACAAACAAAAAGAAAAAAAAAAAAAAGCCTGCATGTTGGGCAGGGGCCCATTTATTTCTTATTTTCAAGGTATAGGCTACAACCTATGTATATAAAATACATTATTATTAAATAGTATTGGGAAATACTTTTGACAATTGTTTTTAAACATAGAGCTGAACTCGAATACTTACTGTTAGCACAGCAAAGCCTATCTGTATTCATAATATAAAATACACCCTGACCCTTCGCTGGAAATACTCTGAAACAGTTCCATTTAGGAAGGCTTTAGAGTCCTGCATTATTTACAGGAATGTGTTTAGTGAATTCATGTTGATTCTGTGCATCTGTTAAGACTAACATATAAATAAATACACAGATTTTCAACATGGCAGGAAGTGTGGCTTAATTGGAAAGAATGTAGATTAACACAGTCAGGCAGATTGTGTTAAAATCTTGGATTTTCCAGTTAGACATGTTACTTAACCTCCTGAGCAAGGCTGTTTTCTTTTCTCTAAAACAAACATATATATATTTCATGTTGCCTAGCATACAAGGCACTCTAGACATTAAATCCTTTTCCCATTTGCCTTCCCTCATCCTCACCCTTTAATGAAAATCACTGAATTTCTTGGGATAGGAGAAATACAGCAGTCACAACCCCTGTAATAGGTAATCTTTTCTGAGACCCAGATGTCAGCTGAAATCATGATATCCTTTGGGGTGTAAATAAAATGAGCTCCAGCTCTCTAACTCGTGCTTTCTGGGGATCCCAGAGGCAGTGCCCAGACTTCTGGGCAGGCCTCCCCCTTGTCCTCAGGAAATCTCTAGAGTGTCTAGGACTTTAAACACCTCTGTCAGCTCTGCCTTCAGGCTCCTGGACCCAATGAATTCTTGCTCCCTTGGCATCATATGCTGTAACACTTATTCCTTTCTGCCAGGATGAGCCAGAGGAGTAGCACAGCCCTCCCCCCTCCTCCTTGGTTTCCCCAAACACCACACACAGGTCTGTGTCTGGCAGATGTGAGTGCATATCTGGATACTCCAGCAGAGAGAGTTCCCATAAGATGTGTGCGAACCATGTCAACTTGAATTGCAGACATCACAATTGCTTACTAGCTACTTTTCCTGACATATTACACCTCACAACTCACTGCCGGACCCCTTCTCTTCCTGAAGTCTCTGTCCAGCTCTGCCTCTAGGGTCTTCTCTCCTGGGCTTCTCCACTCACTCCTGTGCTCTTCCCTGATTGTCCAGGCCCACTAACTCATCCTCAGCTCCTGGCTCCATTCTGCTTTCCCACAGATGCAGCAGGCTTGAGTAAAGAGGATCATCTATCCCAGGATCATATTTGCTCTTCTGCAGGGTAACTTCCATGGGCCTCCTGCCTTGGAGTCGCAGCTTTAACTGTTCCCAAGAACTGGCAGAGGCCTTATTAGTTCTTTTGTTGTTTTATAAGAGGGGTGGTTATGTGTGAGTTTTGTTTTTTTGTTTTGTTTTGTTTTTTCCTTCCCTCATCCTACCAACTCTGTGGAAGGGAACGTGGAAAATATTTATTTTCTTTCTCATCTAAATTGCATCACTCTCTTGAGGGGTCAGGAATAGCTTAATCATTTTTGGTTTTAATAACTTTTTTCCTCTGAGATTCAATTTCTTAAACCCAATTTTCCTCGTATTAACTGCTCTTTTTGGGAGGGAGGGAGATCACTGAATTCTGATTAGGCTTTGTTTTCTCATTGGCAAAATGTAAAGATGCAAGTAGGTATCTCGAAGGCTCCTTATTTCTTTGAAAGTATGTAATTCTTTGGCTCTAATTATTTAGATTTATTTTTAGTTTAGCAGATAAGTTTCTAGTTAATAAAATAGTTCTATATCATCTATTTTTTTCTTATTTTAAAGTGAAATGGTGAATCAAAACTATAATAACATTTTTATTTTTTATCTCATTGTTCTCTTTTTTTACAGAGAGGAAGGGAGAGGAATAGAGAGTTAGAAACAACAATGAGAGAGCAACATCAATCAGCTGCCTCCTGCACCCCGCCCCCCCACCCGGGGATGTGCCTGAAACCAAGACACATGCCCTTGACGAGAATTGAATCTGGGACCTCTCAGTCCATAGGCCAATGCTATATCCACTGAGCCAAACGGGTCAGGGCTCTAGTAACATTTTTATTCTTTTCCCTAGTTAGTTGATTCTCTAAGGGTCTCTTTTAGAATCACATATTCTTAGTTTGCAATCTAAATGTATCACTTATAGCCGAAACCGGTTTGGCTCAGTGGTAGAGCGTCGGTCTGCGGACTGAAAGGTCCCGGGTTCGATTCCGGTCAAGGGCATGTACCTTGGTTGCAGGCATATCCCCAGTGGGGGGTGTGCAAGAGGCAGCTGATCGATGACTCTTTCTCATCGATGTTTTTAACTCTCTCTATCCCTCTCCCTTCCTCTCTGTAAAAAATCAATAAAATATATTTAAAAAAAAATAAATGTATCACTTATAGATGTTTATGTGAGATACATTAATTAATCTTTCTGACCTGCACTTTTTAAAAATGTAAAAGAGAATGGTAATGACAACCACCTCATCAAGTTACTGTGCAGAATCAGTGAGATGATTTATGTGAAAATAATTTGCAAATTATAAGGCATCATCAAATGTTAATTCATTTGAAAGAACAAAACAAGCAGAAACTGAGACAGAAGAGGAGAGATATGTTCTGGAGCATGATTGGTATCTCTCAGTAACAGAAGAAAACCATTCAAATTGTCACAAACTGATGATTGGTAATGCACCTTACTCCTGTCTCAATCATTGGCAATGCATTTCCTCGTGGGCTGGGCTGGCATTGGTTTGTTTAATTGACATGCACTTCATTTCACACAGCTGCCCACTTCAGAAAATGTGTTGGTATCAAGAAATCTGGAGAAAGATCACAGATACATTGATTTCTTTTCACTCTGTAAAGCCAGCCCTATCAAGAAGTAAAGATCCAGCCACTGTAGAGCTGCCACATTGGTTCCTATTCCATGCATATCTTTATTTGGTCCTTCAACCACTACATTTCACAAAATTGTAAACTGAAAAACACAAAGTGTCAAAGACAGCTGCTGGAGAAAGAAGTAGAGTTAGAAAGTCTTGCCTAAGTGCAAGATGACTTTGCCCAGTGGTTCCTTTTGTTGATGTCCTGTCCCACTGCTCAAAGTGATGACGGTAACTTTCCCTTTCTCTCCATAAGTCCTTCAGTGGCCTTGACCCTTGCATGAGTACCATTTACTATTGCACACTTCCAACAGTCTTATCTATGGAAGCTCCCACCGGTTGTCTCAAGTTTTTACTGTTCTTGTGCCCAACCCTTTGCCTTCGCTCTAGTCTGTGCTGAAATTATTTGCTCTTGACTAATATCCATCAGGACTCTGGAATTCACCCTTCATCATAGTCAGACACTTGGTTACTCCTGCTTTCTTTTTCTGATATATATATCTTAACTTTCTCTGCAGTGATTTATTTTTTACTTACACAGGTATTTTACTCTCTCCAATTAAAACAAACAAACAAAAAACAAAATTAGACTCTACCATGTTTCCATTGGCCTTTCTTCATCACTTTGTATAAGATTTTTCTTTCTTCCACTTGTCTTTTCCCTTCTTCCATCTCCATTCTGGAATCTCCCTGAGTCAATTAGTATCTGCTAAAGAGCCAACTACAATTAAAGGTGCCAAAGATTTATTGGGAGATGGTTGTGATGAACAAAAGGGGAGAGGAAGCAGAAGTAAGCAGGATTAACCTTATATTTGCCATGAGCCTATCACCTCTAAAGGCTGAAAAGGAAGGCAGCAGATTATATAGAAAAACCCTTAGTTTATCATGACATTTGAGGAAATCTCAACCATACCAAAGGAGCACCCAGAATAAAGAAGGGGCATCATGGGAGTTCCAGGTCTGGGTAGACTGGTCCAGCTCTATACCCCACAGTGCTGGCACAGTTCTCCCCAAAAGAGACTGGACACCACATTGCATTGGCCGTCACAGGTACCAGTCATTTGCATGAAATCACTTTCTTAAAGCTTATAATTGACTATTACCCTTTCTCTATATTTGTAACTTTTGACGAGCTACTTCTTATAAATTGGCAAAACTTATGATTCTCCAGAAGTATGCCCCACCACCACCTCTCAATAAATAGTATATAAAATATTGCACCCAGCAATATCCACATCACTTGGCCTATATGGTCACAGTCATTTGCAAGTTTATTCTCTCACTGGGAGGATACAGAGCTCTCTAGTATTCATAGATGCAGGAATTGCCATCCAGTATTAGTTTGTAAACATGCAAAAGGTATGTTACAATTCTGAGAGCTTAAAACCTACACTTAGTACTACTTTTTTGCATGCTTAGTATGTGTGTCAGATTCTGCTCTGAGTATTTTATATGTAAGATTTTTAAAAACCTATGTCATTACTCTTTGAGGTAGATTCCCATTAGTATCAACTTTTTATAGAAGGTGATATTGAGGCTAAGAGAGGTTCAATAAATCCCTCAAAACCACATATCTAGGAAGTGGTTCAACCAAGATACAAGCCCATTGATCTCCATAGCCCACACAACTCATATATTTTGCTATACCATTAATATTCAAAACACTTCTCTATAAAATGGCTAACTGGAAAATGTTGACCTAATGTCTACGTTAGAGTGTATACATTATGCAGCTATATTTTTTTTTTTCTGTCTTTCAGGCCCCTGCATTCCTAACCCTTGCCATAATGGAGGAACTTGTGAAATAAGTGAAGCGTATCGCGGGGACACATTCATAGGCTATGTTTGTAAATGCCCCCGAGGATTTAATGGGATTCACTGTCAGCACAGTAAGTTATCCATGGCCATTGTGCTTTTATTGTTATTGATTGCAAAGTATACAAGCCATTATCATTTTTTGTTTGCAGTGGAATAATAGAACTTCTGAGCAGCCAAGGGCCCTGGCAGTTGGCTAAGGCTGCTTCTTGCACACTGAATACACCGCCTCCCCAGGCAAGGAGTCCTAGCCTGTGTTCTGTGCTCTCTGTGGAACCGGGGCTGCCAGTCTTTTGTTGCTCTTTTTGTTATTGTTCAGCCACACTTGCAAAATGTTGCTCTTTATATTAAACGGATACCCATCTCTTTCTTTTATACTTATCCCAAAGCTACATTCTTCAAGCTTTTTCAAGATATAATTTTGTGGACTAGGTTCAGAGATGATACCCAGAAAGTAAAACACCCTCCCTCCCCCTAATCTACCTATAAACGAATTCCTCCTTAACGTGTTGGCATTTTTGCGTGAAATCTTTGAAAGTTCAACAAGTGTGGTATTTGCACTTTTCTCCTTTATCCCCATTCTTATTTATCCTGGGAAGTTAAACAAAATATATCCACTTGTGATGATTTCTTCTCAGATGTGAGGCTCAACATAAATGCCAAATGAGCAGCATAGGCCCTTAACTGCTGCAGGAGATCAGCAAGCAGGGTGGCCATGCTGGCCTGTAGGGGAGGCTCTTTCCGAGGCTCCAGCCTGTGAGCCGAGTCTTCATGGGGGATAGGATGTTGGTCAGAGGGAGAAGAACAGGGGGATGCATGGCACATGGCGGGACTCATGGAGACAGGAGCCCTGAATAGTAGGCATTAAGACCTTGGTGTGAGGAATGCATAAGCCCAAGCTGGGTGTGTCAGTCCGAGCCAGATTTCCAACCACCAGTAAAAATATAGTGTGTCTCCTGGCTCTGAGACTTTGGGGGCATTCTATACTTTTCTGAAGACTTGCCATCCCTAGGAGTTTGTGGGATTGCTGTGAAGCCTGTGAGAGGACAAGGGGCATTTGTGCTCCTTACAACCGGCGTTTGTAATTGTCTCTTAGCGCAGATCACCAAAGAGGAACTGAGAGCTACTGTTTTGCTCAGCCTGGGTCTGGGCTTGCTGAGGCTGATTCTCTCCTATGGTGGCATCATTGCTCAGCCTCCACACATGAATCCCTCAACACACCTCCAGAAAGACAGAGCTGGGAGCCCAGAATTCCAGTTGCCTTTAATTTAGTTGATATTTACTCAATCCCATGAGGACAATATCCCTAACTCACTTATTAACAAAACTATGAGGTGTGTCAGAGCAGTGCCCAAAAGGAGACAGTCAGGCTACCCAAACTGTATTCCTTAATTCAGAGCTGCCTGCAGACAGCACACACATGTACAGAAGATCCCCCCGTTATTATAACAGTGCTCAGAGGCAGGAATTGCACCGAAGGCCATATCCAACCAACTTCCTCTTTCTGTGCTGCAGGGCCTCAGGAGAGAGAGGGTAACAGTATACAGAGACACATTCTTACTGTTAGGAAACCTTAAAAAAGGGCAGTACCTGGAAGGCACGTGTAGATCCTAATATCATTTCAATATTTCGTGTTTAATAGCCTCTTCACCCTAAAACTACTGATGTCAATGAGAAGTTGGGCTGGGCCTTAAAGCAGATGTTGGGAAACTCCAAATATAAGTTCCAACTAATGTCTAGACCACAACAGAAAATGTTTTTCACACCTCTGGGTTTTGTTTTCTTCATGTTGTGAAGACATGTTTTAGTTTCAGTTGTCTTATAGCCTAGACCAGTGTTTTTCAACCTTTTTTGGGCAAAGGCACACTTGTTTCATGAAAAAAATCACGAGGCACACCACCATTAGAAAATGTTAAAAAAATTAACTCTGTGCCTATATTGACTATATATAAAGTAATTCTCTTGAATAGGAATCAAATAAACAACAAAGAAAGTATTTTATAATTACTTTATTATGAAATATTAAGTAAACAAAATAGTGAAAAATTATAAAATTCTTGTCTTGTCTGCACCTACGGCACACCAGGCAACAGCGGTTGAAAAACGCTGGCCTAGACATCCTGTTGGAGACATCAAATCATCAGGAGTGATATACACAAGTGGGGTGGTGTCCACTTGCTTCTGACTCCCACACGTTGGCTGGATTGGAGCCCTTTCAAAAGAACCGTCATGTCTGGAGAAACAGAAACAGTCATTGTTGTCCCCATTCTCTAGAGTAGAATATCCACATCTTTCTCTCAGAGACTGTACCATACTCAACTAAGCGCACTAATCCACATAAAATGTTGAATTTAAAGGCTTATTGTGAAGCACAAAGAAACTCCCCCACTCCTCCCCCCACCCCCACACAGCAGCTGATCTCCCATGGATCTTAAACCCATGTTAGGAATTTCAGTGGAAAGCCCTAGGCTTTACCATTCAATTCAGAACTGGGATTTTGTGGTCTAAACAAGTTGATCCCTATTCTCTGAAGTACATCACTATTAGAAGTAACAGAGAATGGAGGGAAAGAACTGGTTTTGGAATCAGAGACCTGGGCTTGACACCTGACCTTTACAATTATTGGATAAAGTGACCTTGAGCTAATCACTTGACCTTTCTGCAATTGAAGGAATGTAAGTTGAGGAATTGAACTAGAAATAGATTACCTTTGTTTCACACCAGCTAGGAGAGTATATGGACTAAATGTGTAGCTTGCTTACTGTATAAAGGTTATCCAGCCTTCCTCTTTAGAGATGAAATTGAAAGGACTTAAAACCCCTGGGAGCCCCGAGGTAGGAGAAAACCAAAGCTGCTCTTTTAATCCTTTGCAAGAACTGGTAGGCATTTGGGATTTCCCCCCCAGTGGTAATAGTTTTATGCCCAGATATGTTCTAAAACCTTGATAATCAAGGTGTGGTTATGCGTCAGCGATGCCTGGAAACTTATTAGAAATGCACGTTGACAGATGCCACCTTAAACCAACTAGAATGATCCCCAGTCGACACCCAAGCATATTGAAGTTTGAGAAAATACTGCCCAAGGCTCTCAGTAGCTAAAAGTAATCATCTCATAAATTAAGGCAGCAACTTTGCATTCAGTTACAGAATAGTAATTATAGGCAACATATTTAGTGTGGTTTTTGCAAATCAAAACTTCATTGAAAATCAATGAAAATGAGATATACCACTAGAATATGACATTCCTTTTGGGAAAGAATTTTAAAAATTCTTCAGACATCCACATATGGGGGGACTATTTAATTTGGTTCTATATAACAGAATGTGAATTAAATATCTTGGGGAATGTAGCTAAGTAGTTAAAAAAATTAAGTTTCATGACACGGACATGCCAAATACATAGTTAATATGTATACTTTAATAATTAACTTATCAATATCCTGCAAATTAGGGGAAAAGGTTTAAGTGCCAGCATTAATATTACCTGTAGTAGTATATGCTTTTAAAAAATAGTAAATATTCATTTACAGAACAGTTTTTGTTTTATGGAAATACTGAGCAGAGCATTACCGTATATCTCTCCTACATAGTGTTCCCTGTTATTAACACCTTGTATTAACATGCTATACTTTTTTATAATTGATAAAAATAATGTTAATACATTATTACCCAATATTTGGTTTACTATTTATATTATATAGTTATTTGGCTTTTTAAAAATACACAATGTAATGTACCCACCCTAGCTTCATATAGAATAGTTTGACTAACCTAAATGCTCCACCTTTTCATCCTTTCTCCCACCCCTGAGCAACCACTGATTGTTGTTCTTATTTTTTACTATTTCTATAGTTTGTCTTTTCTAGAATGTCACCTTGTTGGAATACTATAGTATGTAGTTGGAATCATATAGTATATATACAGTACAGACTAATGTTTTCACTTAGCAATGGCATTTAAGGTTCTTCCATGTCTTTTTATGAACTGATTGCTTAAAGAAAAACTGCTGAATAATATTTCATTTTATAGGTGTACCAAAGTTTGTTTATTTGTTCACCTATTTGAGGAACATTTAGTTGCTTTCATTTGGGGAATTTATGAATAGAATTACCACACACATTTAGGTGCAGGATTTTGTTAGACCTGTTTTCCACCATTTGAATAAATACCTGGGAGTGTTACTGCTGGATCAATTGGTAAGAGTACATCTATTTTTATAAGAAACTTCAAACTGCCTTCCATAGTGACTGTGCCATTTTGCATACTTATCAGCAGTGAATGAGAGCTCCTGTTGTCCTGTATTCTCAATAATATGTTTTTGTTGGAGTTTTGGATTTTAGCCATTACATATACTTTTTTGTGGTAATGAGAATACCATGAGGTTATAACTTCATTAGACTAAAAATGAGTAATAATTGTTTTAGATAGAATTACCAAATTGCGCATGTTCTTAAAATGCCATACAATAATATGAAACATGTATGTATATATAGATGTGTGTATATGTAGGTGGGTATAATTATAAAATGTAAATTACGGAATGAATTAAACAACAAAGTTGTCTAATGTTTAGAGTTCTGAAAGGTATTCTTAAGCTGCCAGTGTTCTGTTGGCAGCCACACTTGGGTCTGGTTACTATCATAGTAATCATATTATATTTGTTGCCAGTAACAAAACTAATGCCTTAGGGAGGGACCATTTCTTTATTCCCAGAACTCTTTGCCCATCTTACTAAGGAAGGCATTCTGAGCATTCTGCCCTACCTACACAGCTCGGCAGCCTTGGATTCCTTTTAAGAGCACATTTCCTTGGTTCCTAGTCTTTGAGGAAGAGGAGCTGTTCCAGGTGCCCACCAAGCCCACAGAAGAAAAAGGGACAGCTTTAAAGTGACCCATTTTATCAGATTAGATCAAGATAACATGCTCTCTAGTCCCCTTTCCCAGTGAGAAGGTTGGCCAGAAGAACATCTAACCTAAAACTTTCCTCTTTGTTAACTATTGTAACTATTGTAAACCCATTTGGTCTTAATGGTATACTGTTGATTAATGGATTTATACATTTAACAAATACTTATG